CACCCAGAACTCCCTCTCCTACTCCTGATCCTGACCCGGATCCACTCCCAGCGTGCCCTGAAATCTCCATACTAAAAATAAAACACCAAATCTCAGACATATTCCACTATCCCGGGAACCAGCTCTCATCCCAACCCTAGAGTTCATGGTTTCCCTGATACGCGTATGGGTCCGTGCTTTCAGTAGTACGGGCCCATACTACCTTCCACACCTACCCATATTTGTATGAAGTACTCCCACAACACCCTAGCGACATACATAACAACGCTCTATCCTCACAGCTAGAGGAACACTAGAAATCTCTCACAAGGAACCCTAGGCTAGCAGGCATCATAAATCAGGCAACTCATCAAGAAATCCTGAAGATCCCTAGCCTAACTCTAGCATGCTGTTCTATCAAAGCTCAAGAAAACAATTGTCATGTATGGTATTTTGGGGTTACTTACTGGCTCCGGCCGATCGTACCTCCGCGTCCTCCTTTACTTATTTTGAAAACCATTTTTAAATTCTCTTTTTGAAAACCCTCCTCGATTTGAGACTGGAGTCACACAAGTGTTCCTCAAATTCACTCAAACCAAGGCTCTGATACCAACTTGTAACATCCGAAAAATACGTCCAATTTAAATTTTTCAAAACAACCCGATTTTCATTAAAATGTTTATAAAAGGTTTTCAATACAAATCATTTAGAGTATTCCCAGAATCACATTGCTACAAAATCGTGAGGAGCGGTACGATCGCCCCTTCGCCTTGCCACGGTCTCCTGAAGAACCTGAAAAACATTAAACCACAACTGTAAGCCCAAAAGCTTAGTGAGATACCCCCAAAATACCAATCACGTATACTCCCTTCCGGGTTGCGACCTTCCAATCCAAAACATATAAAACATACATAACATAACAGAACATAGAACAGCCATGCATATCGGGTCTACTGTGTGACTGGTCCTCCGTATCGGGCCTTCAGTCCACCGAATACATCCTCCAGGTCTAGTCATGTCCTTCGAGTCTACAGTGGGGTTGGTCCGCCGGCATCGGGCCTTCAACCCTCCTGGTCCACTCTCTGAGTCTACAGTGTGACTGGTTCGCCCGCATCGGGCCTTCAGTCGGCCTGGTCCACTCTCCGAGCCTCGGCATGTCTGGTCCGCCCTCGTGGGGCCTACAGCCTATCCGGACCGCTCGCTGGGCCTTCGGAATGACCGGTCCGCCCTGGGTATCTTGGCCTACAGCACAAAGCAGGACCCGCCTCAACCCATCTCTAGTCCAAACAACCATGTGCACAAAACATACAATTATATAACAGTCATAGCCAACAAACCGAACAAACAGATCACATAGCATATCATTACCTTACCCAGGTTACCGACCTAACCGGTCACTAGCATAGCATCACTCTGTATATCGGGAAACTGACCTTAACAAGGTCTCCTAGCATGTACCATCCTAGCTACCAGGATGCAGACACATCAAACAATAACATAATAACCATATCCGAATCTCAATCCAATAAAGGGCCGGCCTTGGTGCCTTAGACCCTGTTGATATAGTGAGGATAACTCACCTCGAAACTGTCGGCTGATAGGAAAAGATCCCGCTGCTCCAAACTCTGACACGAACTCCTCCACTGAACATCAAAACATACAACTCAATAAATACCCTTAATTACCAAAATACCCCTGGAAGACAACTGGTCAACCTTGGACAAGTTAAAGTCAACCCCTGACTGAACCTACTCGCCGAGTCAACCCGATGACTCGCCAAGTCCTTATGCTCAGAACTTCCCTCAATTAGTGACCCAACTCGCCGAGTCACCCCAAGACTCGTCGAGTCCAACAACTCTGAGTCCACTCGCACCCAACTCACCGAGTCATCCCTTGACTCACCGGGTTCATCGACTCAACCAGAAATATTGGGACTTCCTCGACAAGACTCGCCGAGTCCAAATGGACTCGTCGAGTCAAAGGCTATCTTCAACCTACTCGCCGAGTTGTTCTTCCAACTCGTCGAGTTCCAGGCCATCTTCAAGCAACTCGTCGAGTCGCCCCATGTGACTCGACGAGTACCACCGGTCTGAATCCATACAAAAGCATCTCAGGGCATACAATTGATCCAAAACATAGATCTAACCTCCTACAATCCATCCATCACGTAAATTGGCAAACTTTACGTGAATCTAAAGAGATCTAGGCCTTATTCACCTTAGAACCAAGGTGGGACATGGTAGCTCCATCAACAACACAAGAACAGGGGCTTTAATGCTCTTAAGATCTTCTCCACTCCAGATCTGAGGTAGCAACCTCAGATCCATCCTCCAACATCAAGATGTCACACAACCAAGCACCCCACACAACCCCAAAATGAGAAACTAGGAAAACACAGCCCAAGAATGAAAGTATTACCTCCTAAAGATGCCTCAATAGCAACCAAACTCGAATCCAAGCAAAGCCCTTTGATCCAAGCCACTTCTCCTTCAAGATTTCTTCAACCAACACCTCTCCAAGCTCTAATTTGCTCCACAAATGGACTCTCCACGAATTTAGGGTTTCTGGAACTCAAGGGGGGAATAAGGGAGGCTGTGGAGGGGTATAATGCTCTTTATATAGGGCTCAACCCCGAAAATTAGGGTTTTCTCCATACAACACCTACTCGTCGAGTCCATATTTGGAGTCGCCGAGTAGGCCACTTGATACGCAACCATAGTCGCGACCTGACTCGCCGAGTCTATCCATGGACTCGCCGAGTCACCCTCTGAAACTTACACTTTTAGCCCTTCAACTCTATTCTTGCGATTCCGGGATGTTACAAATAAAATCATCTTTATAAACTTTTGATCTTTAAAATGGCCACCATCTTCATTCTTGTTACATTTTTTTAAAAATAAACTATTTATAAAACTATTCTATTACTTACAAAAATTAACAAAAGAAAACTATATATTTAGTTATTACATACCATATGAATAAATAAATAGTTGCAAACATTTTAAATAAATCAACACATTTAACAACACAAAGGCCATGGAAAGTTTATGCACATCATATATATATATATATATATATATATATATATATATATATATATATATATATATATATATATATATATATATATATACTCAAAATTATATAAAACAACTCTTTGTTTTTCTAAAACAACTTTTATGACTAAAAAAATGCATGTAAACTTTTGGTCAAAAAATAACAATTATAAACATTTTAAAGTTGTCATATAAAATATGTATGAATTTTTCTTGCAAAGAGAAAATCATCCATGATTTCCAAAAACAAAGAGTTCATCAACTAAACAAATAATCTAAGTAATTTTGCAAAAATGGCTCTGATACCAATTGTTGGTTTTTTATTCAAAAATCCGATTTCACAACTGGTAAAAAAAATGACAACGGAAGCTTTGCAAATGTTGAATAAAACTAAAAGTATTTTACCCACCAAGGATAATTTTGTAAGAGTTAGAAATATTAAAACACCCATAGAAGGGAAAGCATAACAACCTTTGAAAAATTTGATTCTCACGAGAGGTTGGAAGTTGATGAAGTGTGGCATGAAACTCTAAACCAAGAGTTCACTACAAGTATCCACCAAACTAGAATAGAAACATCAAAACATTCTAGTATTCTCTTGTGGTTTGTTGTTCATAAGCCTTTGAAATATATACCAAATATATGTTCAAATGTGAAGCAATAAAGGGGCTTTGTCTAGCATCAAAATGCAAGAGAATAGAGAAGAAGAGCCTTCAAATTCCGAAATTTGGTAATCCTCTAGAGAGCATGGAGCTCTCTGATTTGGCTCTAAGAGGAAGAAGAGGAAGACGTGCAAGAAGTGTATCCAAGACCCTTCCATGCCCAGCCTTATATAATGCCCAAAAAGCAAAGGGATGCCATAAAGAAAAAGGAGAGACAACTTTTTCCCAAGCATGACAAAAGTATAGAAAATGCATGCGTACCTTGTCTACTCCCATTTTTCAAAAAATGCATGTCCAAAAGCAGAAAAAAAATTGGCTCATGGCTAGTTTTTATATACATACATGTTATCTTTATAAAAATCAATCATTTTATAAAGAATTTGCAACACACACACACACACACACACACACATATATATATATATATATATATATATATATAACTTGTCATATATAAATATCTTATTTTATATAAAACTATCTTTTATATAAATTATAACTAGCTTATTAAGATATAAATATATAAATATCTTATTTCATATAAAACTACATTTTATATAAATTGAACTAGTTTATTAAGATATATAAATATAACTTATAAGTAATCATACTTTATGATATATTTCATAAGTTGTTATTTCTCCAATAAATATTATTTGAACAAATAATAAATTCCCAATTAGTAAAATATTATTTCCATGAAATAATAATTTTCTAATTAAATATAAGTGTCGATATATTTATTAATTATTAAATTATACTAGTAAATAATCAATTAACGGTAACTTTCTATATGGTGTGACCCTATAGGTTCATATATTATTAGCAATATCATTCTATAATGACTTTTGGGCATACTAGACCTTTCACCAACACCCATTACTACTGCAGCCGTTTATCAGGGTGATTAGGAAGCATCCAACTCTAACTTTCAAAATGATGTACTTACCCAACTCTCTCTGATTGGGTAGATTACTCAGTCAATGGATAGAAGTTTAACAAAAGTTGAAAGGGATGTGGCCACAATGAAGCGATGTATGGCTTTAGGTGATAATGATGATATGGTTGTTGATGACACCCCACCAAGCTCTCCAGGTAATCAACCTCCTCCACCTAGACATCCATCAACAAATATTCCTCATCCACCATCCTATCCCCCTCCGAGCACTCCTCCTCCTCCTCCTACTCCTCCTCCTAATTCTCCTCCCAAATCTGATCCTGCTAAAAGGGGGAGAATAATCAAGGGGATCCTCAACCAATGCAAATATAAGGGATGATTTTACAAACTCCATCTCATCCTAAGATGACTGGATGGGTTGAAGCTGAAGTTGATCCTCAAAAGCAGATTATTGTTGTTGATATTCCATATTCTGATGCTACAACTGATCAGTCCATTCCAGACACTGGTGACTAATCAGAAATCGATGACTAAGAAGGGTTTCTTGATCTTGGTTTCATGCAATAAGTTGTTGTTCCCTTAAATGTTGTATATCCTAGTTCTTGTTTTGAGGGGGAGATTTCTCAAGAGGATCCTCAAGGAATTGATAATTATATTGACTCTGACAATGTTCAGCTCGATCCTCGAAAGAGGAAGGCTTCCTTCTCAGGGGGGGCTTATGATGATGAAGCTGGAAGCTCTTTTGCTGCTGCTGCTGGTGACCTTTCAGCATCTCCTCCTAAAACGAAAAGGAAACTCATATTTGATCTAAATGAATTACTGGAAACACGGATTTTACCCATTAAGGTAGTTACAGAAAGAATAGTAAAAAATAATGTTTCTATTCTTCAAAAAAAAAAGAACGTCTATCTAACAAACTTGCTCAAGCTCTTGCCATCGCTGATGAGAATGCAAATATTCAAAGCGCTAATAATTAGGTTAAGAAAATCTTCAAGAATGATATGGAGAAACAACACATTGTTTCATACCTAAATGATCGAATTGATAGGAGGAATTTTAGAGATGTTCTTACTCGCAGGTCAAAGCCTGATCGTATCATCATACTGATATGCACCAAAGCGAGGAATGAGTCATTGAAGCTTCACTTGGTTAGAAAGAAAACAAAATATGAATACAATGAAGTTTTTTATGCTCATGAGCTAGTTAAATTTGGCTACAACAAGTGGATTCAAATTCAAGAAATTATCGACAAATACAAGGGTGTTCATGCTCAAGAAGTGAAGTTGTAAATACAATAGCTACTCTACAAAGTAAAGAAGTCGAATCTTGTGCCATCAGTTGCTCTATCATCAACTAGTTAATCAAGACCAACCTCAGGCAGAACTGGTGCTCCCAGACAATCTAAAAATACCTAGTTTCTTCTTCCTTATAAAAATCAATATATCAACAATGAATTACAAGTGGGTGTTGAACCAGTCCAATATATGTTCATTCCAAAACCAGAGCATGGGATATTTTATCTTGATAGTCAGAATCATATGTGATTTCAACGCACTGATAACCTTCCTTCTGCTCCCATTAAAAATGTGTTTCATCTTCGCTTAGAAGGACTAGGTCACAATGAACTGGAAAGAGGATATCTTAAGCTTGATCAATTCAGATGGATCAAGCCTAAAATCTTAAAAGAAGCTGAAAAGTTCTACAATGGTTCTTCCGATAACTCTGAAGAAGTTTAGTTTGGGCATCATCAGATAGGGGGAGATTTTAAGGTCACATCTTATGATCTAATGAGTCAAATGCATGACATGCTGATAGATCAGCGTCACGTCTACTACATCTACAACGCAAGCTATCAAGCTTATCAGTGTCAGTTTATAGTACAGTTATCTGCTTGTCATCTTTTTTATATTAGGTAATGATATAGATAAGCATAGAATAGATTAGAGATCCAATATCTTTGTGATAAGATCGATTCTTAGTATAGATTAGACGCAATCCATTGAATCATGGGATATACATGTATGGATTAGTATATATACAACATTAGGGAAAACTCTAGTGCTGTGATTGTGGCTTTGTGTCAATCATCTTTGTAATAAACCCGTCTTCTTGGTGAAGACAAAACCCTTTCTCTGTGAAAGAACAATTTGGAAAACTTCTGTGTTAATGTAACATCCTGACTCCGAGGTATAGTATTTAATTAATTTATTTTCATAATTTCAAAGCAACTCTACGAGTTGGATGCCCTAACTCGCTGAGTAGAGGAGTTAATTGGCCGTTTGATTTCTAGAGTCTACTCGACGAGTTAGAGGACCCCAATTCAATGAGTAGGTGCTGAGTTAGAAAACCCTAATTTTATGGGTTTCTGTCCTATTTAAATGGCCTTAAGCATTCATTTTCGCCACCCTTGTCACCCTAATACGATATGAGAAACCCTAATCGTGTGTATTTACATGTGAGAAAGAGAGAGAGAAAGAGAGAGAGAGAGAGAGAGAGAGAGAGAGAGAGAGAGAGAAAGAGAGAGAGAGAGAGAGAGAGAGAGAGAGAGAGAAGCTAACTTTGGGTGTTCTAGTGCATATTTGGAAGACGATTGAAGAGCATCATGCCTTGGAACGAGAAGAGGAGTTTAGATCAAGTGTTTTTCTATGCTAGCTTTAGTTTGGAGTTAAAAAGCTACCACGTTGAGAATTTTTTTGGTAGATCTCCTTCTAGGGATTTTTAGGGTTTTTTGCCCTCATCTTGTGGTTCTTGAGTTGCTGGAACTTGTCACAGAGTTGAGACTCCAGATCTCGACAAAAAGAGGTCCCATGAGCCCAAAGACCCAAGCTTTATCAAGCTTTGGGCAAGTCTCCATGCATGAAACCCTTTATGGAGCTTGTTTTGGCATTTTAAGCCCTAGATGTCATGCATGAACGTAAAGATTGCAGCTCTACATGGTAAGTGAGCCTTAGAAGGTTAGATCCAGAGTATGAGACATCATTTCTACATAAAAACGTCTGAATGAGAAAATGGATTGAAGGGACTCGACGAGTCGGTTAGGGTTTTTCCACGATGAGTCTGAACACGTTGTAACTCGGTGAGTTGATGAGACAAGTCGATGAGTTGAGTTGGATTTTCACGATATTTCTAAGAAAACGAAGGAACTCGACGAGTCGCATAGATGCACTCGACGAGTTAAGTCAACATGGACTGTTGACTCGAGTGTGGACTTCTGTTGACTTTTAGGGTTTGGTTAAGACATGGATTATGGAGTCCATGGAGGGGTAAAATGCTATTTTACCCTTTACAAGGGTTAAAGAAAGATGTTAGCTTAAATTATTTAGATTGAGGTGATAAGTGTTAATTATAGATGATTATGACGTGTAGGCGAGGATTAGAACGTTCGAGGGGTACGAGGTTTAGGTGAGTCTTCTCACTATACTTACCATGAATGGTAACATTGTTTTACTGAAGGGTCTTGTATGATTATATTGAGAATTGTGATATCATGCATTATGTCTTTGTGATCATGTTGTGTATTATTCTGAGCTTTATTGAGTTAGGACAGGAGGGTCCAACCCGAGTTGTGGGACCGGAGGGTCCCCATTGACACACTGACCGGAGGGTTTCTATTAAGATATATCCATCAGAGGATAATGAGATGTGTGTGGTAGTTTGGGGAACTCACTAAGCTTTGTGTTTACCGTGTCATGTGATATGTGTTTCAGGTACTTCTATGGATCACGGAAAGGCGCCGACTTGATTGTACACACGAGTTGGAGTTTATGTTTAGAGGATCCTGGATTATTATCAGAGAATTATTGATTGTGTTTTGTGATAATTTAACCAATTGTGGATTTTGAAAGGTGGTAATTGGAATTATGTGATTTTGAAAATGAAACTTTTAGCTGAAAATTTATAGTGTTATAAGTTGTTATCAGAGCCTTGGTTTGAGGGATTCGGATGTACTCTCGGGTATGTCGGGACTCAAACTGAGGTATTATGAAAATTTTATAAAGAGAGATGATTTTTCTAAAGCGAGTAAGAGTTTAAAGATGGAGCAGTGTGTATAATCAGCCAGAGCCTAAATGGTGATTTCCCAAAATACCATTTTTTGTTTATATTATGAGATTTTTAAGACATATTAGAGCCGCATCCTAGAGGATAGGCTAATCACTTCAGAATTTAGGGTATGCTATTGATTGATCTTAATTGCTATATGGTTTTTATATGTACTAAGTGGAGAGAAACGTAGCAGGAATCTTTAGAGAGAGTTTTGAGTAATTTAGGAGAGATACCAAGATGAGCACTGAGGAATATACCGAGAGAGTAGTTGGGATCCGCGAGGGATAGAGTGCTATGAATTAGGATCCTATGAGGAGGATTTGGGACGACTATAGGTTGGTGTGGAAGGTAGTATTGGGTTTGTACTACTAAAAGCACCGGATCTGTATGCGACCCAAGTAAGAATCTTAGGATGCTAAGGAGCATTTAGGGGTGGGTAATCGAGTGTGTGTATTGAGCTAGTCTCTGATGATTTTAGGTTTGTGTTTCAGATACACCATGGTGATTACCCGCAACAACCCCGGGGGCAATGGTACCAGTGATGAGGAGATCCACAGGATCATTGCGGAGGAGGTGGCAGCAACTATCAAAGAAGCCATCCTAGAGATGTTTGGGTCTATTAAGACCACTCTGATCGAGACTTTCTATGAGCGATACGCTGCTGTCATGGAGGCTGCTGTTGCTGCAGCCACTGCAGTCGTGGCTATTGCTAGGCCACAGGGAGGTGACGCGTTGTTGTTCCGGGAGTTCAGCAACACGAAGCCACCAAAGTTTGATGGGACACAGGATCCGATTGCTGCCATGAGATGGGTCTCCGACATTAAGGGATGTTTCTATACGTGTTCATGCCTAAATCACCTGAGAGTTCGGTTTACGCTGAACCAGCTTTGCTTGGGAACGAAGGACTGGTGGAAGTTCGTGACTACTAGTTTTACTCATGCAGACCAATCTACAGTGACATGGGAGAGGTTTACACAGTTGTTCTGAGATGACTATGTTCTCCAGGTAGAGAGGGAATGGTTAGCCCAGGATTTTCTATCTTTTAAGAAGAAGAAAGAAACTGTAACCAAGATCACGAGGATGTTCTATGAGAGGGAGATTGAGCTAGAGTTGCAGACCAGAGATGAGGAGGAGTCTCAGGGTAGGGACAGAAGACCAGTACAGTCGCAGCTGGCGACGAAGCGAGCAAAGCCCGCTGATATGAGAGCGGGGGGCCAGAAGGGTCGCACTTGTGGCAAGTGCAGCAAGAGTCATGAGGGATCTTGCCAATCAGGGATTTGCTAAAAATATGGTAAGGAGGGGACATGGTGAAGGACTGCCCTAAGGGATTTGCGGATTGCTTTCGTTGCAACCAGACCGGCTATCGGAAGGCCGAGTACCCTCAACTCAATTAGGGATCAACCCAGACTTCTACTCCTGCTGCCATGTGTGTTACTGATGGTTGGTTGGTGAAGGTTGAGGCTCCGAGGGCACGTGGGAGAGCTTTCCAGTTGACTGCGAAGGAGGTCCGCGCAGCGCTTGATGTTGTTGTTGGTATGTATCTCCCTATTTATGTTATTTTGAGATTTGTTTATGCTTATATTGTGTTGTGTATAGGTACTTTCCTTGTGAATTTTGTGCCTGCTTTGGTGTTATTTGACTCGGGTGTGAGTCAATCCTTTGTGTCTTTATCCTTTAGTCGTCACATTAGTGTCAGACGTGAGGCGTTGAGTCGACCACTAAGGGTTTCTATAGCCGACGAGCATGCGGTTTTTGCCACTGATGTATTCTGGGGATGTGTATTAGAGATTTTTGGTGTGGATTTTCTGATAGATCTGGTGCCAATAACGATGGGTGATGTTTGTGTCATAATGGTCATGGACTGGGGGATTGCTTACTGTGTGTGGCTAGGAGACCCGACCTGGATCATCTTTCTGTTCTGCCGCCAGGGCAAGGCAGAGTTTACAGTAGGGATGTATGGGCTTATTAGCATACGTGATGGATACGAGGGTTGCCACTGAGCGGTCGAGTTCTATCTCTGAGGTCCCAGTTGTAGGTGAGTTTCCGGATGTTTTCCCCGAGGAGTTACCGAGTGTGCCTCCCGAGAGGCAGGTAGAGTTCCAGATGGATTTGATTCCAGGTGCGGCGACTATTTCCAAGGTACCTTATCACCTTGCGCTGCCCGAGATGCAGGAGTTATCCTCGCAGCTCCAGGAGCTACCGGGGAAGGGTTTTATTAGACCGAGTAGCTCACTGTGGGGATCGC